AAATTAGAAACTTCCACACAGAAAAGGAAAAAGCAAAAAAAAAAAACTGTACAGAGCTAACAGTTACCATACTAGTAGAATCTTACAACAAAAAACATTTTTACTAGGAGTGGGCAATTTTGTTAAATATGATACTAATGTAGATTTGAATTTTCTGAGTGTTACAGAGTAATTAATCCTAAATCAACCTTTATTGCAGATAGAAGTTGCACGTTAAAGACGCTGTCTTGATGCTTGGGTTTTTTGTTTTTTTCCCCTTCATGATCCAATGATAAAGTTACCCAAGTGTCAATTTAAGCAAAAAAAAAGAATCAATTATTAACAAATCAAACAAAGCATTAACAATAGTTTGCAAATGAAGGGAGTGGCACTGCATGCCCTTTAGATGGTCTCCTGACATTGCTGCTAAATGCACTAATGAGTCGGTTAACATGTGCAACTATCTACAAAAGAGGATTAGAGCAATTGGGGAAAAAAAATTAACAGATTTTTTAAATATTTCAGTTTAATATGGGGAAAAAGTCAGAATTCTGTGATTAAAGTCAGAATTCTGAGATTAAAGTCAGAATTATGACTCTCAGAATTCTGAGATTAAAGTCAGAATTCTGAGATTAAAGTCAGAATTCTGACTTTTTTGTCATATTATACTAAAATAAAAGTTGAAAAATCAGTTAACCTTTTATTATTTTTACAGTGGCCCTAATCCTCTTCCGTACCAATCGGCTGATGTGAATTCAAGAGGGGGAAAAAAAATATTGCTCAGCAGATTTACCGGTCTTTCTAAACCATTAAGTCACTAAGGCATTTAATTTTGGGAACTGAATTTCTTCAGTCCCATCAAATCCCCTGCTGGTTTCCAGATCACACCCTTCAGAAAACACTTTTGATCCTCTCCACACTTTGTAGTTTCTCTTGATACTGCACAATTTGTTGATATACATTTTTTTAAATTTAACTTGGGAAATAGTTTACATAGTTTTTATTTGCAATTCAATGTTTAGGAAAAAAAGTTTTTAGTTCTGTTGATATAAGACAAGGCTTTTCTATCTTTTCAAGCAGACACATTGTGTTTAAGAGTGATGCTGACATTAGGCAAGACATCTTATCAATACAAGGATGGCTGCATGTTTGTGACTGTACCTGAGCAAATAAAGGCACCTTTAGTGCCAAGTAGGATTTAAAAAGAAAAAACAACCTTTAACCGAGGTTGGAGCAAACAGTCTGTTATCTTTGGTCAAAAAGCATTGTTTAGAGGCTTTTAGTCAATGATGGATGCTGAGCTACATGCAGGAAACTGAGTTGCACTACAACTTGTTAAAGCTTCTGAAAAAGACAGAAGCTTGTGATGTTAAAGGGGTCATAGAATGATTATATAGGGTATTTGGTCCTTAAGGTCTCAGAATAGGGTGTGTAACATTGGTTGGGCCCACCCCCCCAAAAAAAATAAAATAAGTGTCCCCCTTTTCAGAAACCCAAATCTGGTCACCATAGATTTGCATTGCCATCAACAGCTTAGCGACAGCTTCATACTTACAGCTTGCGGTTGTGATGGCCTTACAGTCGGAACAGCCCCTCGTTTCAGTAAAAGAAGTTTGGCAAATCCTGCTTTGAACTGTCCAAGATTTTGAAATCCGATTGCGGTAAAATGTTTACAGCAAATGAACAGCTGAGCATCAAACTATGAACGGATCTTCTGATAGACAAAAATAATCCATGCCTGTTGAGTTTTCGGATCTTTGGGAAAAATTTCCTATTTCGCCGTGCAGCCTGGAACATTGCATTTACACCCGTGGTTCTGGCTCATTTTCAATAGAGAAACTACCTGCTTTGTAATTCTTGTAGAAGTAAACCCAACCGAAGGCTAAACAGCTAAACTGGTGTCTTACATCTACCTCTATTCATGTTCTTGGGCCAGTGAACCAGTGAGCTGGTCTGTATGTCGATTTCGGGGCGTGGTAAAAGTACAGGCCAGAACCAAATAATGCACCGTCCCTGAATTGATATCAATTCTGGGCTTCGTTTGAGTTCGCCCGTTTTATGGTGGAAGTTTAGAATTGTGAAATTTGCAGAGAAATTATGTGTCGATGGGGTTTGAACTTCTCTGTACGTCCATTTCACCCACTGAACTATCGTTATACATCTATGATAATGTAAACTCAGTTTTGCATTCTATGACCCCTTTAATAAAGGAAATTAAAAAAGCAAATAATGAACCAACAGCACCTAAATATTAATACGTGTAGGTGTTGTAGTTGTTGTAGTCATAACTGTCCTATTTTGTAGTAGTAAAGGAATTGGAAGGTAATGGGCAATACTAACATGAGTAATGTGAAAGTGTGGTGCAACACATTTTATAGCTGGTAAACTGTTTTGATGAAAGACGTCAATTTTTCTCTTAAAAAACATTTTCCTGGACTGAAACTCAAATGTCAACCAAGAGCTAGATAGAACCAGCAACAACCGGTCCCAGTGATTTGAGTTACATAAAGAAATATGGTGCAAAATAGGCAGTAAAAATTTAATTGTACCAAGGTGTTGCTGAATAAATTTCAATTGAGTGGATTTCTGTTTGCAATGTTATAAAACAGGTTTTTTCAAACCTTTTCAAAGTGAATCCAAGGTTTGTATTTTAATTCAGGATAAAGGTCATTCAATTCAGTGTGCATGTCTACCATATTTCTATGCAATAAATCTACCCCTAAAGGCAAAAAAGGATGATTATATATTTTGGATCTTTATTAGAAAGATTCCTTTGCCCAATCATTAAAAAGTGTAAAGCATTGAAAAAAGAAAGTACTGAGTAATAATTGGTAGATTGAGATCTATATGAATTTTCCCTTGCAGAAATTGTAATATTCTCTTCGTATAGTAAATCCATTTGATGACTACAGTTTTATAAAAACTGCCTGCAGAAGAGTGAGATCTAAACAAACTCAATACAACCCACAATAAAAAGTTTTTGGATAAGAATATCTGTAATGCAACCCATTAATATAACAAAAAGGCACCGTGATTACCAGCTCAACAGGAAAGTTTTGATAAACACTAGGAATAACAGTAAACCCAGTCCATATCCTGATATCGATCACAAGACAGCAGCCAAACTTCTTGAAAAACAAGAGGCCGATTGTTTTAGTGCAGGACATCTCCTGTTCAATCTCTATAGACGCCATTAATTCTTTATGGTCCACTGCTGCCTAACCTTGTATATATGGCCTCTCAGCAAATTTTCTCATCTTTTGAGCTCAGTGATGCTGACGAACCAAGGATATACGAGAGGTGTCTTTGAATCGCATTGTAACACACGACCCTATATGTGTCTTATCCCCACGGGTCACAAGTTTTCCATGAGATAAACATTTCATGAGTCCCTGTAAACATGCAAGGGCTACAGATAGTGAGAGAGAAAAGGAGAGCTGTGGACACTGTGTGCGAATGATGTGTCGGTGTGAGACGTCTGAAGCTCTTTGCAAGACATGGTGATTCACCGAGCTTCTCAGCTGATGCGTAATAGCATTAAAAAAATAATAAAAAAAAACACTGATGGTATTATCTGTGGAGGGAACACACGCAGAACAGAGGCAGACAGGGACACGGACCAAAAGGAAAAAAAAATATGGAGAAAGAAAGGAAGGGAGACAGCAAGTAGCTCTGCAAGGCTAATCAGATTGTATAGATTTGACCAAACAACAAAAAAGAAGGTCTCCTTTTGTCCTCCAAAATGCCTGGAGGTGTGTGGGCCAATGTGTAAGGGGAGGAGGGGTCAGCACACATTATTCAGTGCCTACATGGGCCAAGACCATTGTTGTTGTGTCCTCTTACGAGACACGGTCAATGCCAGATTGAAATTGAAATTGATTGGCTGCCACGTAAATCAGTGAGCGAAAAGGATGTGGAGTGTGTTTATGGGGTGTAAGGACCGGCAGGGTTTGACATGTAGGATGACTAAACAGCATCCTCTCAAATACAAGTTAAATAAGCACAATTTTAAAGATTCATTATAAACATACAAATTAACAGTATTTTTTTTTTTTTATAAAATCTCCATAAAAATGATTAATGCAATCATTGTTAGTTATGCTTTTTTTTTTTTTTTTTTTGGTTAATTGCATTTCTAACAAAACCAAAATTTTCATAATGCAATAAATTTAAAAAATATAAAAAAGATAAATGAAAGATGAAGAACGCAGGATTGGATCCTACTTAACAAATCTAAGGAGGTCCCTCCACTCCAGTCACCCTCAACTGACAGGAATCCAGACGACATGGACATATATTAAAATTAAAAACTTGGACCGTTTACAAATGCGCTCGTGAATAATTCAGAATGCCCTACATTTGGTGTTAAATATGCAGTATTGCCGCCAGCTAAAATCTCTTTTTTTTTTAAACCGAGGCCACAGCCTTTACTCATCTATATCTGAGCAGAGAAACACTTCTGCTCCACATAGAGGCGAGCAGTCGTGATCTAGTCTAGAGTTTAGGAAAGGGTGTAATTTTTCCTCCTAGATTTGTTGAAGAGGAAGGAAAAAGATGATCCCCACCCTGCAATTTACCGGGGGATTTTGTGGCCAACACCCTAGGTCACATCCTCTGATCCTGCCGTATGTAATCCAGGATCTTGGGTTCATTGAGTCCCAAAATAAAAAAACCTGCTGCCACAGATCAGGAAACAAACATCCATTTATGTAAATGCAATTTATTATCCTCTTGTCAGACAGTCAAAAATGACTCTGAAAACACCATTACCAGGAAACCTAATTCAATATATTAAAAAGCTAATATAAAATTATTTTAATCTTTTTGAAAATGCTTCGAGTGTAAATTTGGAATGGTCCAGTCACTAAAACAAAGCTGTACAAAAGCTAAATAAAGCTACAGTTTTAAAACCTCCAAAATACTGTGAGTGAGACACAAGTTAAAATGCAAGTCTTTGTTTTAAAGACTTTTGAAGATCATTTGTTAAATACAGTAAATGAAAAAGAAAGTTAATACAATACCTGCAGTACAAGAGGTTCTGGGTTGAATGCCAAAGTCATCAACAGCTGCATTCTCTCTGTGTCCTTCAAGTTCTTTAGAAGGAAGCTGCCTGAGTCTTTAGTTTCAGCATATCTTCGCACCACACGGTCCAGCAATCTCTGTGAAGGGCAGTGCACCAGGTCCGACCAGCCCTCCACCACACCTGGAGTGAGCAAACGAACGTCTCCGTTGATCCGGGCAAACTCTGTCTTGTACATGGCCTGGATGAGGTCACAACGAGGTCTGCCTGTGGCTCTCTTGCAGATTTTCTGGTCAATTTCGGCCAGCTCCTGGTTGGAGCCGAGCCGCTTGAGCACCACACGTCGCGTGCCCTCCCTGGGCTCTCCGTACTGCGCAAAGAAAACGTTCTTAACGTTGAAGACGTCAAGAAACCTCAGACGACCCCAGGTCTCAAAGGAAACCTGACCGTTCATGAACTTGCGGCACCAGCTGGTGCCAAAGCAGGCAGGACACTTGTTAAGGTTAATGAACCGTCTGTCAGTCAGCTCATTCTTTTGGAAGGAGGCAAACAGGTTGTGGGTGTTCATCAGCAAGATAACAGACAAGCCCAGCACTAACAGCAGCTTCAAACAGCGGTACAGTCGGCCCAGTTTGAGAGGCAGAAACCGCAGCATGTTGGGAATGGGAAGGGAAGGTGGGGTACTAAGGGATGGGGAATAGGAAGGGTACCAGATTAAATGTCAGGGAATAACCCTTAATGAATGGGTTTCATGGTGCAAAGAGGAAAGTTGTAGAGCTGCAGGAGGGGACAAGGTTGACATAGCTGCCCACTGCCGGTCTCTGGCTGCGGTGAGGGAGTCATCTTCTCTCTTCCTGGAGTTTGAGAGCCCACTTGAGCCAGCAGTTCTGAAATTAAACAGAGAGAGAAAAAAAAAAAAAAAAAAGAGAACTTATAAGTAATGGTAAAATAAGGGGGAACCGTGTAATTCCACCACTGTCATTTAGGAAAGAGAAAAGTTTGAAAAGTGGTTATTTGAAATCAACTTCCCAAAGTGTAAAGCACAAAAAAAAGAAAAAAATTAATAAATAAAATGCTCCCTGGCAAATGAAATTGTCTCACAAATGTGAATTGCTTGGATTATTTAGGAGATTTCATTATTTTTTTGGGACAAAATTAGTTGGCCCACAGCCAATGCAATAAACCTGCCTGAGCCATTGGAGATCTCTACATTTTAAGCTCCTTCTTACATCCCACTGCGAGACAAATAAAAGAAAGAAAAACAGAAAATGGAGTGTCAGAGATCAAATTAGGAGGAAATCTACAACTCTCATTAAAAACAAAAATGAACACACTCGGAGGAGGATTCCTCACAGGAGCTCTCACAAAAACTCATCACTTGTCCTCCTCAGGAAAGGCAAAATAACTTGCAGCCTGCTTGCCTCCACAGTTACGCTGTGCTCAGTAATTTTTATTTTTTTTTTTTGGGGGGGGGACTTGCTATGCATTGTGAAGAAAGTCACGCTGTAAAAAAAAAATCTAACCTTTGATCAGAGCTGCCCCACTTCCTTTTAATCACACTTTGAAGTGGTTCCTTGGAAAGAAAAAAAAAAAAAAAGTCTGGTGTCACTGGAATAACGTTTCTGATATTGTGGGAGGGCTGTGAAAACTCCCCCTAAGCAAAGTGATGTCAGCAGAGGACTGAAACTGTAAGAGGAAAGCACCACAGAGATGAAAATACAGAAGGAGAATGAAAGCTCTTAATAGAATACCCCTGATGAAGACGTTCTAGACTCCCCAATCAGCTTTTTAGCAAAGAGTCTTATAAGGCGCTTTGAGAAAGACAAAGACTCAGGCCACGCAAATTAGCCGTTTTCAATTAGAACTCATTAGGAGACCTCTATTAGGACCACTGACTTCAGAAGGCATGGCTAACGAGGAGGCCCACTAGTGCCATTAACGGCTAAGTCAACAGGCTCCTTGGATTTTCCTGAAAGATCGAAGCAGCTGAGATTTGTAAAGACGAAGTCTGAATACAGGGAGCAGTTCTGAGAGACTTGCGCCTGCTAAGAGTCAGATAAGAGCAAAAAGTGCTTACTCTTGCGTCTCGTATCTGTCTGAGAAACACCTTGATCAAATCAGGACAACATGAATAATGTAAAAATATAAAGTATTTAAAATTTGGAGGCAAGAGGCAGTTAAGCTGTGCTATTTTAAAAGGCAAAGAATGATTCAAGCAGTTTAAATATCCTTCTCTAGACCATAAATAGGAATTTTTTCTTTTATATCTTTTAAACAGAGAAAAACATTTGAGTTATCTAATTTTTTTAAAACAAATTAGGTCAGGGTCTTTATTTAATAAAGCAGAATACTATAATTATCAAGAACTTCTTAGTTTTTTTATTATGATTTTTGCAAAGGAAAAATGAAGGGGCATTTTTCCATTTTTTAAGAGGGCCCCTTACCTAAAACATAGAGCAGAGTTATAAAAATAGTTAGTCTTACGTCAACAAAAACAGAACCAGTGTGATAAAACACTAAACAACAATAACTAAAAGAAAGAAAAAACCCTATTCAGAAAATATTTTAGCAATTATGATGCTTAGATGCTTTGCAACTACCAGCTTCACTACATTTCATTGGGGTTTAAACAACGGGTTGAGAAAAAAAAAAGTTTCACAATGTTTCACAATGTGTTTATTTGAAGGAAATTGATAAAGAGTTTTAATTTTTTCAAACCTGTAAAGAGCAGCCTTTTTGTTTTTATAAGCAATCTTACTTGTACTACTTCTAATATCAGATTTCCAGGTAATTTATTAAGACTTGTTTAAAGCTTTAAATATTTCATGCTGCATTACTGGATTCTTGAACCGGTCAGAGCCAATGGGAATAGGTACAACATATTAGAGGCAGCAAAAAACCCAGAGTATGGGTCCTGGTTGTTCACCTTGTAGTGGGGTCAATTTCTGAACATAACCCGTGTTCTCCACATCTATGGTTCTAAACGTTTAGAAATTTGAAGTCATTATATACACAAAAGTGATTTTAACAAACAAGAAAAAGAAATCCACTTCCTCTGTTTGAAAAAGTGTGTTTTATGAAAAGTGTCAGGCCGAGCGGGCAATGCCCACTTTTCACCTTCTGTTTAAGATCAAATGTGGTCCACCATCTTTTTTCCTAAATCTAAAACAAGTTACTTATATTGTTTTTCTTAAACAAATAATTTAGTCATACTGCTCTTTAAACAAAGAAGATGCAATTTAAGGGTCTATCAAACATCATGGACTATTCCGGAAATATGCTTATTGACACAGATGTGCTATACCAGTGTATCTATTTTGGGTGTTTTTAAATGTCACAATTTCTGTGCACAACAAAGCTTATAAAGTAGTAGTTAGCTTTAAACTGCTCTAAACACAGCTTATAATACACTAGAGATGCACCAATGAAATATTAATACCTGTATCAGTCAAGATACTGAAAAAAATTAAATAAAATATACATCAGGTGCAGCGAAAATGGGCCAAATTTATAGGGGAAGATTTATTCAGTCTATTTCTATAATACATTTAAAATGGGCTTAAAATCTCTCGAACAGCAAAGTTTACCCCGCTTACAGGCCTTTGATTTAGTAAATATAGTTACTTTTAACCCTTACAGCTGCTATAGCTACCAATGCGTGCAGGCGTACATTGTGCGCCCATTACTAAAATTTTAAATTGTACGCCCTGTTTTTGGGATAAATGGCTTTGTTTCACCCTAAATTTCCCTCAGAATAAGGTGGAATATCTAATATCCGTATTGATAACTTCATTTGCGGGAACAAGCATGTTTTTTTGTTCTTTGAGACAATAGTGTCCGTGGAATGGGGTAAAGCAGCAGCTGATGTAAATGACATCTGGGGAGGACGGCGGGATGGGTACTAAATCCGCAGCAAACGTCACACAGATGTAGGGATGGAAATCGAAAACCGGTTCCTGTTCAGATTCCTGTTCCAATTCCATGGCACCGTTTGGCAGCTCGCTTAACGATTCTCTTAACGGTTCCAGGCAGCACCAGAGCATAGCGCAGGGCAGCACAACTTACGTCACCTTTTTTACGCAAGTTACGCACACGGCATTCAGTAAGCAAGTACGACGTAACCAGGCTTAAGTCTAGAAAAGCAAAACAAAAAAATTGCATCCCATCAGGTAAAGCGCTCGAAAGTTTGGCTTCATTTTAAGGAAGAGAAAGATGGCAACAAGGCGCTTTGAAATCATTGCAAAGTGGCAATTACATCCGCGAGAGGAAATACATTCAATATGCAGACAGACCTGCGCACACAACATGGCATACATTTTAACGAATGCCATATTTTTGATGCTTCCGAACAGAAGCTAAAGTTACGACCAGCATGGCAGGCAACTCTGGTGGTTAGTAGCTAGTTTTATATCACTGGCTGAGCTTAATGTGGTTCCTAGTAAATCATATGCCTTTTCTGGAAATAAACCAATTTTCTATCTCTCTTTGGGGTTATTAAACACGCTACGAAGTTGCTCCGCAGTTCAGGGAGCTAGAGAAAGGTATATACATATTACTTAGGGTTGTCACGATCTTAAACTCGATACCACAAGGATAAAAACAAAGACTCCAAAATTCAACAGAAATATTTTCATAATAAACAAAATGCAATAAATAAAGAAATAAATACAATAAACAATAAGAACAATATTTTGAGGTTGGATGCTGTGCACAACATTAAGCAAGCTTGATAAAAATCTTACAAAATTAAAATTGAGTGTTCCTTCCTTGGTTATGTTTTGCAGACATAACAATGACACTAGCCAAACAAGTTAAGAAACAAAAATAATTCTCAGCAGCGGCACCTGTAACAAAAAAAGTCTGAAACTGAAAAGTGCACAGAATTATTCAATCACACAATGTTCAGAAAGTGGATTTTCCTCTATTCTGCACTTTAGATGAATGACTGTTTAGGTGCCACTGGTGGCAAAAAGCTCTGAGGCTCTGAAATAGGTCCTAGAAGAGAAACCAAACCCTTTTTGATCAGATGCTCTTTTACGAGGTCAAAAGGCATACTAGGCAGTTTTTGCAAATTTGACTGAAACAGATTCTATGCTTCATCAGATTCAGCCAAATTCATTCTTAAGGAGCCTCAGTGGCATTTGCAAGAGCAGAAACTTTAATAGATTCAGAGTCCAAACCACAATTAAAGCAGGTCATGTGGTTCCGTTTGTAAATACAAATACTCTATAAACTCCTCAACCTACCATCTAAACAACATCCAAGGGGAAGCAGAGTCAATGTCTCTGCAGTTTCGAAAGCAAGGATGTGATGATAGAGAAGTTTAGGGCATTACGCAAAACATTTGCAAGATGACAGAAATATTGCATTAACATTTCTTTTCCTTTCAAATACATTGAAGTGTTTTGGCTGTCAAAGGAGACAGTAAGGAAAGTTTAAGGTTAACAAATACTTTTGCAAAAGTTCAACAGAATTCACAAGGATGTGCTTGCTTTTTTGCAGCAGGGATAAGAGAGGAAGCTGATTGCTTGAGAGGAAAACCGTATATCCTGCTGCTCTTAAAGCCCGATTCAAGTGCCATTTAGTGTTTGACAGAGCTCCAGAATCTGGGGAGCGGATATGACATTTAAGTAGGATGAACTAAAGGCCCACAAAAAACATGAAGTTGTTTCACCTCCCTCTTCATTAGAGAGAAAGAGAGACAGTCGGGACGAGCTGAATCAAGAGCTGAACATCACTGACTAATGAGGTGCGGAAGGTGACAAGTGATACAGGCGGTTATTTGGCATATTACTTAAAGGCTTTATGTAATTTAAGCAAGACCAAACTGTACAACTGAATGAGGCTGCAAAATTATTACAGCCCTCAAGTACGGTAGTTTTATATCCAGCGTTTTCTTTTTTTTTTTTTTAAACCTTTCAGATTTAGTCATCGTTTGGTTTCTCAGTCAGATATTTAAGATCAAACAATTTCATTTACTCAGGCAAAGATAACCCAAACAGACACAAAGAGCAGTTTTTTAAATAACTATTCACTAGGGGTTCAGGAAATTATTTTCTAAAATCATTGCCCCTTTGAATAAATCCATGTTAAGCTGTAAAATTAGAACGTACCATCGCTGTTAGACTCCAGTGAAGCGTAGGAATAACCACTATCCACAAACATTACACCAAGAGTGCAATAAGGACTCATTCCAAAAAATATCTTCAGATCCCAAAATATTTTCGGGAAAAAAATTTGTGGATACAACTATTTTGCAAAGCAACAGTTTAACTTTTTGGAAGGCGTGAAATACAGTTGTTAAAAATATACTTTTTAAAGTAATGATATTAACAAGTGCTTTGCTCTCTCTGCTTTTTCTCACAGTAGCTTCATCTGGCCTGTTCCTGTGTCTGTAACACCATCCTGTAGAGAAATATCAGCTGTGCCATCAACACCCTTGTTTATAGATGTTTGAGATCAGCCTGTTTTTTTAAGTGTAGTCCTGTTTCTCTGACTAGGACTGGCTGGATGTGATGTCTTCATCCTCTAACATCGGGGCTGGCTCGGAGTTCGTCTTCCTAGCTGTGTGTT